TATATATCCAGAGTCTGAGCCACCCACTGCCACTGCAATTTAAGACGGTATATATTAAATAGTATATCTCAAATGCAGATGGTAGGCTGCTGTGTTGTATAAATGCAGCCTACATCATCTACATCAATATTTATTTTCTACGAAGGGGGAGCTTACAATTGATTGGGTCAATGCGTTCCAAAAACAAGTCAATTGCAGTGAGTGCCTCGTTTTCATTTATTCACCTTATATTATTTTGTGCTGAGACCATTTTTAATTGCTATGTACATCCCTGTTTTTTGTTTGCTGTTTTTTTCAAGTTTATCACCGTCGAGCCGACGCCATGTTCCTCTTGCACAGTTCTTTATCCAATATTGGTAGACACATTTCCTCCTTTCATTCATTCTTCAAGCTGACTTTACTTTTACTTTTATCCGCCGCTTACCCTTTTGGGTGTCGCGGGAAGAAAGAGACGTCTCTCTCGACAGCTGGAGAGCTTGGGTCAGGGGCATGCCGTGGGTGGTTAATGTTTCCCTGACTCCATCTATCCAGGTCAGGTCTTTCTCGGTCGCTTTCTAGCTTTGTTGCCATCGAATTTTTTTTGTATGTAGGCACGTTGTGCTGGATGGTGTATTGGTAATCGTAGGAGATCAAACCATGGTGTTGGATGTGATGCATGACATCATTCGTGCCCACCATGCGCATTTCTCGGATTTACAGAGTTTCTAATTTTGTCTCGCCTGGTCTTGTTTACTGCTTTTCTAAGGCATCGAATTTCACATGTTGTAATTCTTTGCTCTAATGTCTTGTTCGTGGTCCATGTTTGGCATTGATAGGTGAGTGTTGGGATGAATATGGTGTTGATCATTTTGAGTTTTGTTGTCATGGGGATGTTAGGATGTTTTAGTAGTGGAGTAAAAAAAACTAGTAACTAACATTACAGGCCTTTTGTACTCGTGTTTCAATTTCTTTGTTCAGTTGCCCATCCTCTGTGAATATACGTCCGAGGTACTTAAATTCTTCAAGCAGTCACCCATAAAGTAAAGCTAAAAGTCAGGTAGATCTAGTTAGTCATATAAAATTAGCTCACATGCGTCTTTCTCGTATAATAAAAGATCTAGCTTCGGTGTTCAGTCTGCAGTCAAATTACCGAAAAAAATGTGAATTTCTCTTTGTATTAATCGTTTAAGATCTGGTTGTTTCAATTAATTCCAAGATGTTTGACTAAATTAAAACTAATAAAGTATGAACACAATATTATTATGTTTTTTGTGTATTGGTCCTTTCCGCCAAATCTCAACCATTCCACGAAACCAGGTCCAACCAGGCATTCCAGTAAATTCTTTATCGGTTATTACGCTCTTCTACAAAAGCTGGATCCTTGAAGTTAGCGGACCAAAACAGTTATCTCCCCACTCCCCACTTCTCTGTTTTTTGACAACGAAGACAGCAAGCATGGCTTCGCTTGACGAGGAGCAACCAGACACCCAGTACTGTGTTATTGAAGCGTCAGTTGTGACGGGGTTTGAAGAATCTGCCAGAGCAGAGGCTAGAGAAAAATTTGGAACTGATGTGAAGGCAGCTCGTGGGAAAATATCATGGAAAGTGCCTATCAACAGAGTGAAAGAAGTAAGTGGAGAGAGAGAAAGTGAGAGCACAGACAGCAGACAGCACGTCGTTGAACAAGAATTTATCTATCTAGATTTTCTAGATCTAGATCTAGATCTAGATCTAGATTCTAGATCTATATATATATCTAGATTCTAGATCTAGATTAGATCTAGAAATCTAGATCTAGATTCTAGATCTAGATTGGCCACCTCTGTGAGAATAGTGCAGGCGGGTCTTGTGGCTATTCTCACCCGGTGCGCATGTCAACAAATTTTGCGTTCACCCTAAACCACAGAATTC